ACTCAGTATCTGAGACTGATTTAAAATCAATGAATTATTTCCTGAAATAATCAGGTGGTGCCCCTTTGTTATGCTAATAATTACGAGGTATTTATGATATAATATTGTCCATAACATCGACAACAGCATATCCCCTACATTTACAAAGCTCCTAATACTCTATGTTCATTTCGTTTCTATTCAGAGGTGCATGTTTCCTCTCTTTCTTGGCACTAAAACACGCTGCTTGCGGTGTCATAGTCCTTGCTGATGTGGGAAGTGCTGGGCAGGGACTTGAGGTACTCCATGTGCCTCCTGGCATCCTCCTGGTTGTGTTTGATGTAGTAAACAATATAAGCTGTCACCATGAAGAACCAGCAGAACATGGCCACAAACATAGCCACATCTGTTGTTTTGTGGTGGAAGTTGCAAAAGTTGATCCCTGAGTCCAGGACCTGGATCACCGACTGTCCAATGTACTCCTCCTGCACCGAGGTGTGACAGATGACCTCGTTGACGGTCTCAGGGTCGAGCCTTAGCTCTCTCAAAACCTCCTGGAGCAAACAGTCACAGTGCCAGGGGTTGTGGGAGAGCCGGACTCTGGCGTGCAGCTTGGTGAACGTGTCTTTCGGGAGGCTGCTGAGCTGGTTGTTTGAAAGGTCTACAGTCCGCAGGCTGTCTGAAACTCCCTGAAAGGCACCGGTCTCCACGCTCTGCAGAGAGTTGTGGGATAAATCAAGCTCCCTGAGCCGGTGGAGGTCAGTAAAGGCATCTATAGAGATGTCCCTGATCTGGTTCGATGAGAGCAAGAGAACCACGGTATCCTTCGGCAAGTTGTTGGGGATGTTGTCCAGGTTGCGTGACGTGCACTGCACTATCATGCCATTTCGCTCTGTGCAATGGCAGATTTTGGGGCAAGCATGAACTGGGATGAAGAACACAGTCAGCAATGTTCCAAAAAGAGAACCACAGTAATAACGTTTTATGGTTGTTCCGCACCTTTGAAGAACCCCCATTAGTGGGCTTTGAAACTGATGAGAGCAGAAAAAAGTTCACAAAATCATGAGTTTGTGGCAATTTATCTTTCAACACAACTGCCCATTATGGCAAACGTTGCTAACGCCAACAAATAAAGACACTAAAGTTTCAATATCCTGGTTGTTCCAGACATTCTTTCCTCATCATTTATCTTGACATGTACAGGGAAAAATCGAGCCCTGATCCAGCTGAGAAGAAGGCACGTGTCCAAAAGTTTGCATACTCGCTAAATGAGATGTTGGATGAGATCAGCTTGGCAGGCAGCCCTCAGTGGAGAGTGGAAAACATTTAGACATGCTGGAATTTCAGGGCTGGAGGGCGAATCTTTTCAAATGACCAAAAGAAACCTGGAAATGAATGAGACAGAGAGGCAACAGTGAGATTCCTGACTCATCATTTTACCACCTCTTTACAGTAAAACTTTCTATTGTCTCGTTCTTCCTGATTTGGGGTGGCAGTAAAGTTCAGCATTATAAGAATAGCATGTTTCCATAGTGTAACTAGGCTCCAATTTCCATCAGGAAAAAATCCATTACACAAGGTGAGCCTCATCAATATGCAGCAGCTGAACTTTTGAAAACTGTGATTTGTGTTTTTAGATAAAAGAATGAGAGCATGTAAGATTAACGGTGTGTGAGTGGTGAAGGTCAGAAAGCAAATGAAAATGGTTCTTTTATAAGTTTGAGAACAAAAACATGACTGAAAAGCATGAAAACCTTTTTTTATTGCTAAAACAAAATGAAGGAATAAAGGTTTACCATACATGATTTTTAATGTTAAAACAAATGTTTAAAAAAAGTATATATATATTGACGAGTAAAAGTTAGGTCAAAGTTTAGTTATTGGGTCTTATCCTGAAAGATGGGTGTACACATTACGAAAAATAATGAACAGTTTAGGCCAAATGAAAAAAAAAGTGTGCACAAAACATGTAACGTAATATTTTTAATCAACATATTTTATTATCAATCAAATCTTTAAGACAACAAAACAGATTAAGTCTCATGTTCCTACCTTTTAACTGCAGCAGATCTATAATTTTTAAACAATACAAAAGTGAGTTTATCCAGTTATTTACCTGAAAGCTTGACTCGGTTGACATGCCTCAGTCCCAGAGGTGAATGTGATAAAAAGCATCCAGCAGCAGGAGGAACAACAGCTTCTTTGTCAGCTCTCCTCTGGTAACCATCCTCCTGCAGGAGCTGCAGCCTCTGTGGGAGTGTGGATCCAGCTGTTTGACCTCCTGTTGGAGCAGCTTTGCAGCAGCGGTGCGTGTGTGTGTGTGTGTGTAAGGCAGAAATGGGTTCTACCTGTCTCTGCTTTTAGTCCGTTAAAAAGATGCTGCATCAGCAATTCTTTGACTTTGACAGAGTTAAATCTGACAAACTTTGTTCTAGGAGCATCCAGTTCTATTTTGTTCAATACTGGATGCTGTTAAAGTGTATTTGTGAAGGAATGTTGCAGTGATGAGTTATTTAAACTTTATTGGATTACCTCTTTATTTGTCACTTTCTACTTTGACTTCACATTTACAGAAATTTTATATAGGAATTTAAAAAAATCCCATTAATAGGGTTGGGCAATATTGGCAAAAAAAATTAATCACGATTATTTGGGGTATTTAGCAGATAACGATTAATTTGACGATAAATTCCCTGGAGTCCCTGGACACCCTTATGTCCTGGTCACATGACCAATTTAGTGGGAAATATTTGCTCTTCATAAAAATCTGTTCCAAATGGTCAAAAATACAGACTTCGGGCTATACATCAAATTTTAAATTGTGTTGATAGATAAATAAATTACAGAATTTTTTTTAAATGGTCGTCATATTTGAAGCGGAGAGGAGCATCGAGCAGACTAACCATGGAAATATCCAGTCAGTCTGCCTGGTGGCATTAATCGTATTAATTGTCAAGTGCCAAAAAATAATCGATTAATGTTTTTCTGACGATCAATTGCACACGATACGATTATGCCCAACCCTACCCATTAATGTCCTTTTCACTGAGAAAGAAGTTCAGCTTTTTTATTATTACATGCTTTGTGCTTTACATTTTATGCTGAGATACCTCAAAAACTGCAATTTTAACAGCGTTCTGGTTTACTAGACCAAATGACAGATTGATTTCTTACAAAAATTATCTCGTGTCTCTTCCTTGAGTATCTGTTCAATCCCCTACATATGCTGATTTATCAAAATTTTTAAAAGTCTGCCTTTTTAAGTGACACCACCTCTTTATATCCTGGAACTTCTATTTCTGCTCCACAATTAATCATCACGCGCCATCAAAAGGCAAAGATGGAGCAATAATGTTTTTGCCCATGTCTCTGTGTGTGTGTGCGTTACCGAAATATTCCATGAACCAGTGGATGGAGTTTAATGAAACTGTAATGGATCTAATACTTTTATGTTTAAGCAAGTAATTCATGACATCCTTTAATGACCTAGGTTTTCATGACATGCTGTTCATCTGCAGATAGAATGATTAAAGTCAGAACAAGATTTGCTAACAACAGTCATTCTTAGATATCACTTGTGTTTCTCTTTGTGTTTTCCATTGACCTTGTATCAAATCTTGCTAAGATGACAGAATGGTGTTTGTTAATAGATATATGAGGCCTCTCGAGAACAGTGTTCAACAGTGAGTAGTGTGGAGAGACAGTGACAGAGAGAAGCAGAGGCACAGAGACAGGGCAGGTTGTTCTCTGTGTTTCCTGTTGTTGCAATAAAACTCAGCTGATCGTCTCACGGAGTACCTTCATTCTTGGACCACGTATTTCTGTCTTTGTTAAATAAATATTGCCACAACAAAACTTTCATGAAAAATTAAATGAATGTACATCTACAATAGGGTTGGGCATAATCGTATCATGTGCAATTAATCGTCAGAAAAACATTAATCGATTACTTTTCGGCACTTGACGATTAATACGGTTAATGCCACCAGGCAGGGTCTGCTTGGTGCTCCTCTCTGCTTCAAATATGATGAACATAAAAAAGTTGTGTAATTTATTTATCTATCAACACAATTTAAAATTTGATGTGTAGCCTGAAATCTGTAATTTTGACACAATTTGGAACAGATTTTTATGAAGAGCAAATCTTTCCCACCAAATTGGTCATGTGACTAGGACATAAGGGTGTCCAGGGACTCCAGGGAATTTATCGTCAAATTAATCGTTATCTGCTAAAAACCCCAATTAATCGTGATTTTTTTTTTTGCCGATATTGCCCAACCCTAATCTACAAATAATGACCTTTGGAGGTAATCCAGTTTAACCTGGTCACTATCAACTGACTTTAGCACAACACAAAAATGGCTGTAACTTAGCCAACTTTACAGATATTGAGCTAAATTGTGTGTGGTAGGAGATGAGCGATCTTCTCATACACTGTACGTGGCATCTTGCATTATTGTATGGTATTGTGCCCAAACTTTTTTCCTGTCTGTCAGTGTGTTTATTTGAATTCAGTTCAGTTCAGTTTATTTATAGCACCAAATCACAACACGTTGTCTCAGGGCACTGTACATGAAGCATTCTGACGTGTAGTAGAGTAGAGGTGGGATTTACGGCTCTTTAAAGGGAACAAGATCTTGAATATCCTTACCTTTCAAAGAACTGTTTCAATTTAGAACTGTTACTATGTATGGAGGATGTACAGATGTGTAATGTACAGCCATAATAAGCAACTAGTCAAACCAAAGAGGTATATTGACTAGATGCATCACGTACACTTCAGAAAATTGACCCCTGTGGTACGAGTGCAACGCCATACTGAAAGGGGTGGGCTGTCATTGTAAGCAGGAAATATATGCACTATCTATCTATCCATCTATCCATCTATCTATCTATCTATCTATCTATCTATCTATCTATCTATCTATCTATCTATCTATCTATCTATACATCTATACATCTATACATCTATATTTATACTAAAATACAAACCTAGAATTCCTTGAAGAAAAAAGCCTATGTGTGAAGTAAGTGTGTGAAAACTCACAAGAGGCCCCAAAATCTCATGCGATCTATTAGCATTTTACATGTTGGGCATGACTCCCAGCTACTAGCACACCAAGTTCTACCTTCATATGGATACAATGTATGGATTATCTTTTTTTTTT